TTACTACTACTACTACTACTACTACTACTACTACTACTACTACTACTACTACTACTACTACTACTACTACTGCTACTACTGTTACTACTACGACTACGACTACTACACCTGCTACTACTAATGGTGTTATGGAACAGCTGATACCACTACTAATGCTAATGCTAGCACTGGCGCAGCTCACCATATCACTATTATTACCCAGACGACGACGAATACGTCTTCGACTAGTAAGACTGCGGGGAAGCCGAATCCTACCCACACTGACTTTACGACGAAGAAGGTACCAGTAAGGCTAATCGTCAGGCGACACCATACGAGCACGACGAATACCCAACCGAATACTAACACGATTCGGCGAAGAGGACGATGAGGAGGAGGAGGCTGAGGAGGAGGAGGAGGAGAAACCTGAGGATCAGGATGAGGCTGATAATGAGGATGTTGCTGCTGATACTGATGATGCTGATGATGATGATGCTGCTGATGATGATGATGCTGATGATGATGATGATGCTGATGGTTATGACGGTGATGCTGATGATACTGGTGATGCTGCTGATGATGATGACGACGATGGTGCTGACTCTGCTGCTTATGATGTTGCTGTTGCTGCTCCTTCTGATGTGGATGATGCTGCTGATGATGATGTTGATGATGATGCTGACGATGCTGATGCTGATGACGATGCTGATGCTGATGCTGATGCTGATGATGATGACGATGATGATGGGGAGGAGGAGGAGAAGGAGCAGCAGGGGGAGGGAGGGGGTGGGAGGGGGCGGAGGAGGAGGAGGAGGAGGAGGAGTTGGAGGAGGCGGATGAGGAATAGGAGGATGAGGAGGGGCGGAGGTAGATGGCGGAAGAGGAGGAGGAGAAGGAAAGAGGAGGGGTGGAAGAGGCGGAGGAGGCGGAGGAGGAGGAGAGGTGGAGGAGGACAGAGAGGGAGGATGAGGAGGAGGGACGAGGAGGAGGGGGAGCGGAGAGACAGAGGAGGAGGAGGAGGAGAGGAGAAGGAGGAGGAGGAGGAGCAGGAGGAGGAGGAGAGGAGGAGGTGGGAGGAGGGGAGGAGGCGGAGGAGGAGGAGGCGGAGGAGGAGGAGGAGGAGGCGGAGGGAGTAGGAGGAGGAGGAGGTGGAGAAGGAGGAGGAGGAGGAGGAGGCGGAGGAGGAGGAGGAGGAGGAGCAGGAGGAAGGAGGAGGAGGAGGAGAAGGGAACGGACGTGGGAGAAGGCAAGGAGGCGGATGAGGATAAGGGGAGGAGGCACCCAGGAGGAGGTGGGAGGAGGAAGGAAGAGGCAGGGAGGAGGAGGAGGAGGAGGAGGAGGAGGAGGAGGAGGAGTGGGCAGACGCCGCGGCGGTGCGCATACCTCTTTGGCCCAGCCAGGCCGCTTCATCCTCCAGGGACCTTGGCCTCGCTCGGACGTGGGCGTTTTTTCTCCCGGGGAGGCCCTTCGAGCAGCCTCCTCGGCCATCGGGCCAACAGACAAAACACGCATGAGAGCAACACACACACACACACAAACTGCACAGGGGAGGGACGTCCGAGCGACGGCGAGGGGAGGGGCCGAGAGGCCCGAGGGCCGGGGGCCACGTCACGAAGCAACTGTCGCGTCGCACGAGCCAAGGGTTGGGCGTCGCAATGCTTCGATCCGCGGTCCGTCTGGTTGTGTATGGTGGCTCTGGTGCTGTCGGCGAAGACGGTACCGTCCTTTCGTGTATCTATGTGTTGCCATTGCAGAAATTGAAGCTTCGCGCGGCCCGCTTTACTTCGACGGGAAGAGGTGCGCTCTCGACCCGCGAATCAAACATGTGTTGCCATTGCAGCGCCATCCAGGGCTTCGTCGGTTTTGCTGCGTCGAGACAGCGTATTTGTTCCATAGTCGCCGGGCGTAGCGGTCATGAACCGACTGGAGGATTGTTCGCTGGAGCACCGGTTAAAGTTCAGTTGTGTAGTCAAGACATCCACTTTGATGACTCCACGTGGCCCGTGTGAACAATGCGTAGCACCAGGAAGCAAACACGATGGCTATGCAGTTGGTTGTGTAGGTATTGCTGTGCCAGTGACATGTGTAAGACATGGCCGTCATGGTATTCGTCAATATTGAAGTTAACCATGCTGGTGCAGATGGGCGTGGCGAACATCTTCGGTCGAGGACGGTGCAAGCGGACCCGCATTCGGACCCGCAGGGCAGGCAGCGACGATCACCCCCTGCAGGACTGTTGTGGCCGTGGTGGTGGTGCAGGGAGACACCCGAGAGTGAGGACAACATCGAGAGAGATAACGTGGAGGCCGGGGCAGCTCTGCGTCTGCTTCGGCAGCTCTGCGTCTGCTTTGGCTTAGTATTATTATTATTATTCTTATTATTATTATTCTTATTCTTATTCTTATTCTTATTCTTATTTGCTTCGGCGCCTTTCGAGAACCGGCCGCCGCAGACCCGGCGACGTCCGCGGCGGCCGTCGGCGGCGCGGAGGGGGGGGGGGGCGTGCGGTTCACCGGCGGGGCGCGCCCCCCCCCCGGAGAGGCGCGGTGGGCCTGAGCACGGGCTACGCCGGCCTGCCGCAGAGCCTGGAGAAGGACCGTAAGTGGTGGGCGGCCACCTTCATGGCGGTGCTGCGGCTGCCCCCTTCGGCTTCTTTTCTCTGTGCTTCTCCTTCGTCTTGTGGGTCGCTGCTCGCCCCTGGGGGGCGGCGCGAGAGCGCGAAGTTACTCGCGCTTTGCACAGCGCGAAGCGCGAATTTGGCGCCTTGGATTTACGGAATGCCTTATTGGGGGCGGTCGGCGAGGCCTTCGGACATGCCCTGTTTGCGCGATTTGCTGATTTTTCTCGAGGTCATTGTCATATTCCAGGACTCAGACCACCCCCACGAAGAATTCTTGGTCGATAGATCCCGATCAGTTCAGAATGTGCGGGCCAGGGTTGCGATGCACCCTGACGATGGTCCAAGCCACATTGGTATTCCACGGGTCATCCTGGAATCAGTTCTCGGGAGGTCAAGTCTGGCGAGCACCAAACTACAATGTTCTTTTCCAGCCAGGTTGTCGTAGAATTTCTGCGAGCTCCATTATGCCACACTCCCACCTTGCATGGTGTACATATTTCCTCTGGATTCCTCTACGATTTCCATGTGTCCAGTATCTACCATCATGCGAGCCTGTACATCAAGAGGACATCTCTGGCGATGCGGAGTTCCACCTCGAGAAGTGCACAGCGGCGTTCCTGCTAGATCCGGCTGTGGTGGTCCAGGCGCCAGTGTTGGTCCAACGAAAGGCACGTGTATGTGGGAACGACAGCATGATCGCAAGTAGCAGTAGCCAGGAACAGCCAATTTCATGGCACAATGGCCAGATCAGTTGACAGTGGGGTATCTGCAGCAGCAGCAGCAGCTGGAGGCTAGTCTTGAGCTTCTCCTAATGGTGCATCTCCGCCACAGCAGAGTGAGGGAGCCGAGCGTTCTTACACTGTCCCTGGGTGCGTGGCTCTACTGGGCGTCTGCGATGGGGATTGCCGCCGCCCTCGTTGCTGGCCCCCGTCTCGCGACCCGCCCCGTGACCAACCCACGCCGTTCCTCGCGACCCCCCTGCAACCCACCCGGTACCGCGACCCGCCCGAGCCTCGCCCCACGACCTGCCCGCGACCCACGCGCGGTCCGCCCTGCGACCCGCACGCGGCCCAGCCGCGACCTGCCCTGGGGCCCACACGCGGTCCACCCGCGATCCGCCGCGCAAATTCTGCCGCCGGCCCATCCGCCGCCCACCCAAATCATTTTGAAGCAGCGTGCTCTCGAGCCTCGCGAACGGCCGCCGAGCCTCCGCCCCTCTCGCTCGCATCCGCCACTCTGGCGGCTCCGGTGCTCGTCGGTGCGTTTCTCAGTGTCTGGGGGTCTTGGCTGAACGCAAGGGCGGCTTGAGACCCTGAGTGCGTCTCAAGCCCTCTGCGACCCTCCGTGGGTCTCAGTGGACTGGCCATAGTACAGCCGTGGCCTCTGTGCGTGGGATTCTTGTACAGTCGGTGCGCTGAAGAAGGAACCCTTTTCGTTGTGGAGTGGCTCCGTGTTCCTTAGTTGCTCTACAGTGCTCTTTGGGTTTGCCTGAGGTTTTCCATGGAACATCGGAGTTTAATGTATGGGAAAAAGGGGCCTCGTTCCTTATTTTTCGTTCCTTAGGTCAACGCCCCGACTGTAGAAACTGCGCGAGAGCGTTCCCGCTGGACCCCAGGACCCTCCAGGGGCTTCTGAGCTTCCGAGGAGGTTGCAGGGGGGCTTGCACAAGGGGCAGGCAGGGCTGCAGGATAGATTTTCGATGGGCCTCCAGGAGCTCCCAAAGAGCTTGCAGGGAGCTTGAGCAATCCCGTGTTTGACGAACGAACAACACACACTCATACCCATAGGGGGGTCGTTGGGAGGAGGACTGGCTATGGGTATGGGTGCGGGTTGTCAGACCCTGGGGAACGCTCCCGTTCGAGCGGGGACCCCCATCCGACAACACGCACCCATAGCCCTCTCCGATCCCCCTATGGGTATAGGTGTGTGTTGTTGGTTCGTCAGTGTTGCACCTCGAAAGACATTTCGAGACGCCTCCAAGAGCGTTCAGCGGCTGCTCAGACAGGCGGCTTGCATGGGCCACTGGGGCGTCCAGGGGGCTTCCAGGGTAGGGTGCCCTCAGGGGCAGGTGTTTCCATTGGGGCGGAATGACAATCGCATGCCATATTCCCACCAGCCCTTCAGGGCGCCCTCATTCCCCCTTCATCCCCTTCGGGGAAGGGTTAATCACTGCTCCGAGTGAATAAAGACCCCCTCCCCCAGGGGATCGGCAGCCAACCAGGACCAATGACCCCCCAGAATCATCTATGTCAACATGACCGACCCACGAACCCGGAAAGGAATATAGAACTGTGAGGCATGGCGACGTTTTCACGATATCTGATTGGGCAACGGGCAATTGCAGTGCTGAGTGTATCGATGTTGATGTACCCTGCCAAGGGCTGTACTGTGCTGCACCGTGCTGAGTTGCGATGTAACGTTCCGCAATTGTGCCCTACTGCGTTGAGGGTCGAGTCCTCCTTACATAGTAGCTGCCGCAGAGCTAGTTGAAGTGGAAACGTGCGGGACGTTCAATCAACTTGACTTCAACAACCGACTCAGCTCCGAAAGGAGAAGCACGACACGTGGCTCAGGCTTACGGACGCGCCACAGGCTGTGCCAGGGGCGCAATAGGAGATGCGCCAGGGGACGTATCTGGGGACGTATCAGGGGACGTGCCCTGGACGCGTCAGGGACTTGCCACGGAACGTGCCAAGGCGCGTGCCATGGGGTGTCCAGAAGACGTCACGCTAAGGGACGTCGCAGAGGTCGCGCCACGGCACGGGCAGGGGAAACGCCTGGGGACGAGCCGGGAAACGCGACAGAGGACGAGCCAGGGAACGTGCCACGCCGAGTGGCGTGCTACGGGACGTGCAAGGCACGTCACGCCACGACGTCGCAAGGGACGCGCCAGCGGACGCGCCAGCGCACCAGGGGACGCCATGGACGGGCGGGGTTGGACTGCGATGCGCTCTACTGCGACAAGCATTTCGCTCGAGACATCCTCAACAAATCATCATGTCAGACATCCATCTGCTCGACCTGGACATGTGAAAACACGCGTCTCGCTCGAGACATCCTCAACACATCCTCATGTTAGACATCCGCCTGGGCGACCCGGACACGTGAAAGTAAGCGTCTCGCTCGAGACGTTCTCAACACCTCCTCATGCTAGACATCTGCCTGGGCAACCTGGACGTGTGAAAACAGGCGCTTCGCTCAAGACAACCTGTCCAAATTCTCATGTTAGACATCATACTGTGCGACCTGGACACGTGAAAACAAGCGTTTCGCTCAACACATCCTCAACTCGTTCTCATGCTAGACATCCGGAATCAGCCCGGGCGACCTGGACATATGAAAACAAGCGGTTCGCTCGAGACGTTCTCAACACCCCCTCATGCTAGACATCCGCCTGGGCAACCTGGACACGTGAATCCAAGCGTCTCGCTCGAGACATCCTCAACATATCCTCATGCTAGACATCTGCCTGGGCGATCTCGACGCGTGAAAACAAGCGTCTCGCTAGAGACATCCTCCACACATCCTCATGTTATCCATCTGCCTGGGAAACCTGGACGCGTGAAACCAAGCGTCTCGCTCGAAACATCTTCAAGACCTGGGCACGTGAAAACAAGCATTCCTTCTGAGACATCCTCTGAACCCTGGTCCCCATGAGAGGAACAATCTACAATTCAATACAAGCGCTTCGCTCGAGACATCCTCAACACATTCTGCAGAACAAGCGTTTCGTTCGAGACATCCGCAATTCACGAACCTGTTTACTTTCCCATGTGTTATACCCACCAGAATGTCAAAACACAGCGTATCGTTAGGCACACCCTCAACCTTTTAATTCGCTGGCCTTCTTCGACCCTGTTATTCATCACAAAAGAAGTTCGCCAGCCTCCTTCAAGCCGAAACCAGGGGCAACAGCACTAAAAGAAAACTCTGGGGCCCAGCCTTTACCATGAACAAACAATACAAACCACACTTGTGGGGAACATATTGGGTCATAATCGTGGGCCCCGCGAACACTTTGTATGGTTTTTTTTGACAAGGCGGCGGGGGTGCTCGTATTGCCTGCTGTGCGCAAGTCCACCACCCCTGTAAAATATGATCGGCTCACGAACCTGGAAAGGGATTGAGAACTGGGAGGCATGGAACCGTTTCTAAGGACCTCACATGCAATTGAGCGATGCCAGGGGGGCATGCCAGGGGGACGCGCCGCGGAACGTCCCAAGGGATGCGCCAGCGGACGTGCCAGGGAACGTGCCACGGGGACACACCACGGGACGTGCCAAGGGGACGCGCTACGGAACGTGCCAATGGACGTGCCACGGGACGTGCCAGGGGACGCGCCGCGCGACGTGCCAGGGGGACGCGCCACGGAACGTGCGAGGGAACGTGCCAGGCGATGCGCCAGGGGACGTGCCAGGGAACGCGTGAGGGAACGTGCCACGGGACGTAGCACGGGACCGCGCTCTCAGGCAAGCCCTTTTAAGACGCGGTTTGCCTCCCCCCCGCCCTCCTCCCCCAGACACCGTGGAATCAGAAAGGGGCAACGCACGGCGGACCCATGAACGAAGCCATTACGACGGGACCGCGCTCCCAAGGCAATGATCTCTCCTAACTGACGTTGCGTCCGCTCTCCCTGGGCTACGATCACTTGTAAACTATGCTGCGTTCGTGCTCCCAAGACAACGAGCCATTGTAAATCACGCGGCGTCCGCGCTCCCAGGGCCGCGATCCCTTGTAAATTGCGCGGGGGTCACGCTCTCAAGGCCACGGTCACTCGAACCATGCTGGATTCGCGCTCCCAGGGCAACGATCCGCAGGAAATTACACAGGATCCACGTTCCAGGACCACGGTCCCTTGCAAATTACATTGGATTCGCGCTCCCAGGGCCACGATCTCTAGTTAATTACGCTTGGTTCGCACTCCCAGGGCCACAGTCCCTTGTAAATTATGCTGCGTCCGCTCCGCCAGGGCAACGATCCCTCGTCAATTGCGCTGTGTCCGCGCCCCCAGAGGCAGGACCCCCAATACATCACGATGTGTCCGCCCCCACAGGGCCAGGATCCATAGTACATTACGCTGCGTCCGCGCTCCCAGGGCCACGATCCCTCGTAAATTACGCTGCCTCCGTTCTCCCTTGCCAACGACCCCTCGTGAACGAAGCTGCGTCCGCGCTCCCAGGGCCGCGATCCCTTGTGAATTGCGCTGTGTTCGCACTCCCGGGGCCACGTTCGCCAGTAGACTACAATGTGTTCGGGCTCCGAGAACCACCTGGGAATCCTGTGGCGCCCAGGTCGCAGAAGTTCTGCAAAACAAGCGTTTCGTTCGAGACATCCTCAGATATTCAGCGCCCAGGGCGCGCCATCCTCGAGCGGGCACGCAACAAGTACATTTTTCATGTTCTGACGAATTTCAAGGCCTCCAGACCTGGTGCTTTATCGTGTATTCTCCGCAAAACGCTCCGCACTCAACGGGGGATAGCATGCGTCTGCGGGCGCCGTTAGGATTCAAGGATCCAGGACAGGGGACACATTTTTCTTCGAACGGGCACGCGCTAAACGCATTTAAACAGTCAAGTTTTCGTTGTTAGTTATGGCAAATAATTCCGCCGTCGCGCGCAGGGTCGCGCCATTCTCGAGCGGGCAC